ACCGACTAACCTCATCCCGCCCCCTTGACCTGTCCATCCTCCCTGGACTAACCTATCTCCTCCCTAACTCCCCACCTATACTCACCTTTACTGGCTCCATCCCCATCTCTTTGACCTGTCTGTCTCCTCTCCACCTATCTTCTCCTCTATCCATCTTCTATCTGCCTCCCCCTCTCTGCCTATTTATTTCAGAACCCCCTTCCCCTCCCCCATTTCTGAAGAAGGGTCTAGGCCCGAAACTTCAGCCTTCCTGCTCCTCTGATGCTGCTTGGCCTGCTGTGTTCATCCAGCTCTACACTGTGTTATCTCAAATCAGGAAAAACCTCTTTACTGGAGCTAGTTGGGCGGTTGTTTTTGACTAGCACAGACTGGGTGGGCCAAAAGATCTTTTCCTGTGCTGTAGACCTCTATGACTCGCTGCCACACATTGTGATGGAAGCCTTTGAGGGAAAGTTAAATAAATACTGAAGGGGCAAAGAAACAGATGGATAGGTTTATAGGGTAAAGAGGATAGGAATAGGCTCGTGTGGAGCATTAACGTCATTTGGGCCTAACACCCTGTTTCCCTGCTGTATGTTCTATGCAATTCCATGCATCCCACTTCCATTTATCCCCAAGACTCAGAACATCAGCGTTAAGGAAATTTGAACATCACCATTTCTTTTCTTGTCTGCATTACATCGTTCCATGGATATAAGGTGATAAATTAAACAATTGTGAAAACCTTTCACCTTTGCCTTGGTGTGAAACAAACTGTGAGGTTGTCAAACATTATTGCCCAGAGGCTTTGCTTAGCTCAAGCACAGAAAGTCGATACTTACGAAGGTTTTTGTTCTGCGAAAGGCAGGAACAAACAGGCAAAAAACATTATCCTCAGCAGCTCCATAACTGCATAGATGCGCAGTCCAACAGTATCAAAGATGAAAGTGAGGCCACAGGCTGTGGAGTTTTGGCAATCAATATTGACAGTGAGTTAGTCATTAACTGTACAGGAGTATGAAGTCTTGCTGTTCAATGTCTCTTCAATTGCTGAATCGCCAGGAGACTTTCGATCTCAATAACCAGCAAAATTGTTCAGACTGGAATTGCATTTTGTTTTAGATGATAAAACCCAGGGGGACATTTTGATCTAATTGGCCAGGCCAGCAATGGACATCAGGGAATCCTTTAGAACCCTCAGCTTTGGACACTAAGAGGTTTTTTTCCCAGGGTGGAAAAGTCGACGACAAGAGGGCACAGGTTCAAGGTGAGAGGGGGAAAGTTTAAGGGGAGAGGTGTGGGAAATGTTTCACACAGAGAGTGGTGGTTGCCTGGAACGCACTCCTGGTGGAACCAGACACATTAGCAACGTTTAAGGTGTATCTTGATAGACACATGAACAGGCGGTAACAGGGGTATAGAAATTGGGCATGGGTCATGGGCATACAGCATGGAAACAGACCCTTCAGTCCAATCAGTCCATACAAACGATAATCCCAATATAAACTAGTACCACCTACCTGCTCCTGGCCCATATCCCTCCAACCTTTCCTGTTCATGTACTTATCCAAGTGTCTTTTAAACATTGCAATTGTACCTGCATCCACCACTTCCTCTGGAAGTTCATTCCACACATGAACCACTCTCTGTGTAAAAAAAAAATTGCCCCTCATGTCTTTTATAAATTTTTCTCCTCTCACCTAAAAAATATGCCCCCTGGTCTTGAAATCTCCCATCCTAGGGAAAAGAAAACACCTGCCACTCACCTTATCTATACCCCTCATGATTTTATAAACCTCTATAAGGTTACTCCTCAACTTTCTACGCGCGAGTGAAAAACGTCAATAGTAACAAGTCTAAATAACGATTAGAATAGGTGTTGGCTTGGTGGGCCAAAAGGGGCTGCTCCTGTGCTGTATTGAATTGCATTGTGTATCTAGAAAAGAAAAACAGCATAAACAAATTGTGTTTATGAAGCAGCATGAATATAGTGAAACGTCCCCAGTACACTTCACAGCTCCAGGCTCAGACAACTTCTGATGCCAAGCAGAAGATACTGAGATATTGGTGGAGATGACCAAAAACCCTGGTCACAGAGGCAGGTTCCGAGAGGTATCTTCAAAGGGGGAGTGTCAGAAGCTGTAGGGAGGGTGGAATGCAGGGGGCAAGTCAGCAGAAGGCAATCCTCCCAGCAGGAAGGGGCTAGAATCGGGATGGCTCAGGTTTAAGAAGCATGCAATATGTGGAGGCAGAGATAGAGAGGGACTACAATGGCCTGTAGGTATTATCGCTGGGATGTTAATCCATGGATCCTGGTTTGAATGCATGCCACAGCACATGGTGGAATTTGAATTCCATAAAAATCTGGAATCAAGAATCTGATGATGACCATGAATTCATTGTCAATTGTTGGGAAAAACCCATCTGGTTCACTAATGTCCTTCAGGGAACGAAACTTGTCATCCTCACCTGATCTAGCCTACATGTGACTCCGTACATGTGGTTGGCTCTTAACTGCCCCTCTGGGTTTGGGGCGGCACAGTGGTTAGCACTGCTGCCTCACAGTGCCAGGGAGCTGGGTTTGATTCTACCCTCGGGCAACTGTCAATGTGGAGTTTGCACATTCTCCCTGTGTCTGCGTGGGTTTCCTCCACAGACCAAAGACGTGCAGGCTAGGTGGATTGTCCATGCTAAGCTGCCTATAGTGTTCAGGGATGTGTAGATTAGGTGGGTTATAGGGGGATGGGTCTGGGTGGGATGCTCTGAGGGTCAGTGTTGGCGAAGGGCCTGTTTGCACACTGTAGAGATTCTATGATATTAAACGCTGGCCTACCCAGTGATTCCCTGATCCCTTGAATGAATTAAAGAAAAATACGGCCGTGGAGAGATTTGATGATCTGGGTGGCTGTAGGAGTTTGCAGAGGCAGAGAGGAAACTTGGCCACACATGGATTGGAAAAGCAGAGATAGGTATTTTCAAGTCCAAGCGTGGTTGAATAGCTGTAGAAATATTGTGCCCAGTTTGCGGCTGCTCATCTAAAGAAATGCAAATCACTTCAGGGAATGTTCAATCACCTGATTTGTGGGCTGAGGGACTGCATGCAGGGGTACAGGTTGGATCTGAGAGACAATATCTTCAAAATATACAAGATCCTGAGGCAGAACAACAAGGGGGATGGCAGGGTCTGCTCAAGGGGTTTACAGCCCTCTCAGCAAACTCTCCCCTAACCCCACTACTTAACATTTAACACTGAGCAAAATGAGATATCTGGAATGAAATTCTGCCCCCCTCTTCACTTCCATCTAAAAATACAACTCAAAGCCCAGTGCCCGAGCTGATTGCCTGTTCCCCCATACTGTTGGGAGAGCCTAGGCTGGATGCCGAAAACATGTTTTGCTGCCTAGAACGAGACCAGAACAAAGAGACTTAGAAACAGAGGAACAGAAGTAGGCTATTCAGGCCCTCAGGTGTGTCCACTGACTTGTGGCCTAACCTGCCTTTGGCCTACAATCCCTCAACAAAAATTTGTTCTACCTCAGATATTGAAATTAACAACTGATCCAATGGACATTGAAGGCAAAGTTTGTGACCTTTTGGAATCCGCTTCCCCAAAAAGCAATGGACACCCAGATTATTGAATATTTTTTAAGGCAGAGTTAAATGCATGTTTGACTAAGCAGGGAGTCAAGGACAACTAGAGCTTAGTTTAAGGCTACAATCGAATACAGAATCCCTACAGTGCGGAAGCAGGCCATTCGGCCCATTGAGTCCACACTGACTCTTGAAGAGCATCCGCTCCTGGACCCACCACCGTCCTCGCAAACCTGCATTTGTCTCCTACACGTGGCTTAGGGTGGCCAGTCCACCTAAGCTGTACACCTTCAGACTGTGGGAGGAAACTCTAGCACCCATGCAGACACGGGGAGAATTTGCAAACTCCACACACACAGTCGCCCAAGGGTGGGATCGAACGTAAGTCCCTGGCGCTGTGAGGCAACAGTGCTAACCACTGAGCCACTGCGCCAGCCTAAGATCTGCCATGTTCTTATCTTATGGCCCTGCAGGTTCAAAGGGCTAAACATCCTATTCCTGCTCTGAAATCCAACATGAAAGGGGAAGGTGCGTGGACCAGTTAACAAAACTGGAAAAGCCACTGTCGAACTGTCAGCAAAGCCTAAGAACATCTGAAAACACTTCTCGTTCCTGGTTAATATGCAACAAAGTCCTGCAAAGGCAATGCGAATTACCAGAAGCAAGTTTGTATTGGCACAGAGTTTTCAGATAAGCGGAGTCGGTACATGGTTCCACTCCCAAACAGGCCAAAAATTGGCTGGTGACCAGGTGGGAGGGTCACTGGAGGGGTAATCCAGAGGCCCTAGTTAATGCACCCTACCCGCTATGGAGTGCATTGAAATGTCATTCAACCGTTAAATCTGAAATTGTAAGTTAGGTCCCAGTAAAGACTATCGTAACAATTATCATCAATTGGTGGAAACAAAACCACCTGGCTTTGCTGAAGGAAGAAAATCATAGGATCACTCTCATGTGGAAGCAGGCCATTCAGCCCATCGGGTTTACGATGATCCACTGAAGACCCACCCAGACTCACCCTACGACCCTGGCTAATCCACCTAGTATGCACATGCCTAGACACTATGGGGCAATTTAGCATGGCCAATCCACCTAACCTGCACATCTTCGGGACTGTGGGAGGAAACCAGAGCAAAAACTACATAGACAGTCTTCCGAGGGTGGATTCAAGCCTAGGTTCCTGGCACCATGAGGCAGCAATGCCAACCACAAAGCCACCGCACCATCCTGAAAGCTGCCATCCCTACCTGATCTATTTTACTTCATGGCCCCCTGCCTCTTCATAGGATGTGTGGAACAGTCTCTCTTCTGCAGCTACACTGGCACGACTCCCCCACCTCTTCCTCCGCTACATTGATAACTGTATCAGCGCCACCTTGTGCTCCCACAAGGAGCTCGAACAGTTCATCCACTTCACTGACACCTTCCACCCCAACCTCAAGTTCACCTGGACCATCTCTAATACCTCTCTCTCCTTCCTGGACCTTTCTGTTTCCATCTCTGGTAACCACCTGGAAACTGATATCTATTTCAAGCCCACAGACTCCCACAGCTACCTAGACTACACGTCCTCTCACGCACCTTCCTGCAAGAACGCTATCCCCTATTCCCAATTCCTTTGCCTCCGCCGCATCTGCTCCCAAGATGAGGCATTCCACTCCCGAACATCCCAGGTGTCCTCGTATTTCAAGGACCATGACATCCCCCCTCACAGTGGTCGAAAATGTCCTTGACTGCATCTTTCACGTTTCCCGCACCTCAGCCCTCACATCCCCTCCCCGCAATAAAAACAAAGACAGAATTCCCCTTGTCCTCACGTATCACCCCATTAATCTTTGGATTCAACATACCATTCTCCGCCACTTCCGCCACCTGCAATCTGACCCCACTACCAAGGACATATTTCCCTCCCCACCCTTATCTGCCTTCCGGAGAGACCGCTCTCTCCGTGACTCCCTCGTCCGCTCCACACTCCCTACCAGCCCCACCACCCCCGGCACCTTTCCCCGCAAATGCCGGGAGTGCTACACCCGCCCCCACCCCCCCCCCCCTCACCCCCATCCCAGGCCCCAAAAAAACCTTCCACATTAAACAGATGTTCACCTGCACATCTGCTAATGTGGTATACTGTATCCGCTGTTCCCGATGTGCCCTCCTCTACATCGGGGAAACCAAGCGAAGGCTCGGAGACCACTTTGTAGAGCATCTGCACTCTGTACGTGACAAATGACAACATCTTCCAGATGCGAACCACTTCGTGCTCCCCCCCCCACCCCCACTCCCTGGGCGACATGTCCAGCCTGGGCCTCCTCCAATGTCACAATGA